TTGTCGTCCTTAGTAGAGTGTTATGGTGTCATAGCTCACAGCAACCTCCAGCTCTTGGGCTTAGGCAATTCTCTTGCCTCAGCCTCCTGAGTAGCTGGGACTCATAAATGCCCACCACAACGCCTGGCTATTTTGTTGTTGTTGTTGCAGTTTGGCCAGGGCCAGCTTCAAACCTGCCACCCTCAGTATATGGGACTGGCGCCCTACTCACTGAGCCACAGGCACCGCCCATCATTATTGTTTTAGCTGGCCCAGGCCAGGTTGGGACCCGCCAGCCTCAGTGTATGTGGCCAGTGCCCTACACACTGAGCTACGGGTGCTGCCAGAAAGTAAGTCTTAGTATCAACCAAAGTGCCTGTCCACCCATGAGTAGATTATCAAACTGTAGTATATGTGTCCCACAGAGTGCTGTTCAACCATAAGAAAAGATGGAGACTTTACATCTTTTGTATTTACCTGGATGGAGTCAGAACCCATTCTTCTTAGTAAAGCATCACAGAATGGGAAAAAGTCTCCAGTGTACTCAATACTAATATGAAAACAATATACAAACAACTACACAGTGTCTGCACAAAAGAAAAACACAAGTGTCGTCTAGTGAGGGGGCGGGGAGGGGGAGAGTGACTTCCAGGATCTCACCGGTGTGTACGCCATGAGGGTGTCCAGCATGCCCTCACATTGAAGGCGTGTTCAACTGCAACTTGAACTTTACCTCAGAAATGAAAACAATGTAATCTAAATATTTGTACCCTCATATCAATCTGAAGTTAAAAAATATATGTAAATAAAATGTAAAATAAATAAGTCTCAGTAATTAAATAACTTAGCTAAATTTTGGTTGTTTTCATTTTTTTCTTTTTTTTTGAGACAGAATCTCATTGTGTGGCCCTTGGTAGAGAATCACATAAGCTCAAGAGTTTGAGGTCGCTGTGAGCTGTGATGCCTCAAACTCTTGAGCTTACGTGATTCTCTTGCCTTAGCCTCCCAAGTAGCTGGGACTACAGGCACCCACAGTAACACCCAGCTTGGTTATTTTCATAATGATAATAAAAATCAATCTCGCTGGGCATGGTTATTCATGTCTATGATCCCACCACTCTGAGAGGCCAAGATGGGCAGATTGCTTGAGCTCACGAGTTTGAGGCCAGCTTGAGCAAGAGTGAGACCTCATCTCTAAAAATAGCCGGGTACTGTGGTAGGTGCCTGTAGTCCAGGTACTCGGGAGGGTGAGGTGAGAGGATCACTTGAGCCCAGGAATGTGAGGTTGCTGTGAGTTATGATATCACAGCACTCTACCAAGGGTGACAGAGTGAGACTGGGTCTCAAGAACAACAACAACAACAAAAAATCAATCTAGAAAATGACATTTCATTGCTTGAATATTATTGATTAATATTACTCTTGGTAAGATAAATCAGCTTCAGATAAAAAACATTTTTTTTTGCTTTATAATTTATACATTTATGATAGAAAAGATGTTTAAGTTATACTTTTTTTTTTTTTTTGAGACAGAGTCTTCTATCATCCTTGGTAGAGTGCCATGGTGTCTTAGCTCACAGCAACCTCAAACTCTTGGGCTCAAGTGATTCTCTTGTCTCAGTTTTTCATTTTTGGTAGAGACAGGGTCTCACTCTTGCTCAGGCTGGTCTCAAACTCGTGAGCTCAAGTGATCCACCTGCCCCAGCCTGCCAGAGTACTGGAATTACAGGCGTGAGTCACCATGCCCAGCCTGTTATACTTCTATAACTTAAATTTGATTACATGGTTATTTGAGGAGTTGACTAGTTAAGAGAATCCTGTTTTACTTAGAAAAGCACTGTTTTCTAAGTTTAGGGTTTTTTTGTTTTTGTTTTGTTTTTTTGAGACAAAGCCTCAGGCTGTTGCCCTAGGTAGATGCCTTGCCATCACAGCTCACAGCAACCTCCAACTCCTGGACTCAAGTGATTCTCCTGCCTCTGCCTCCCAAGTAGCTGGGACTACAGGTGCCCACCACAAAGCCTGGCTATTCTTTTTGGTTGTAGTTGTCATTATTGTTTGGCAGGCCTGGGCTAGATCCAGCTCTGGTATATGTGGCTGGTGCCCTAACTGCTGAGCCACAGGTGCCGAGCCCTGGGTTAATTTTCTGTTGCAGTTGTCATTGTTGCTTAGCTGGCCCAGGCTGGGTTCAAACCTGTCAGCCCCGGTGTATGCTGCTGGTGCCCTAGCTGCTGAGCTACCGGCGCTGAGCCATGTCATGTTTTCTTAAAAATAAAGCTTAAATACCTTTCTCCAGATCATAACACTCTGACACTAATTTCATTTCTTTCTACAAGTGGCAGAACATAGATCTGAAAAGATACATATCAGGTTTAGAGTGAGATGAGGCCAGGAGTGGGGCAATACCAGAGCTCCCGTTGGTGTATATTTTTAAAAAGATGATGGTTAGGCCACTGAGAATATTTGCACCCCTTCATCATATTGTTGGCAGTTTGTCTTGGAAGAAATTCCAAAGCGTATAACTGGAGTAAAGGCTTAAGTTGGCAATGACAAGGTTTGTGTGGGGAAAGGGGGACCCTGTCTCCTTGGCGTTGAGTAAGTGTGTTCTTCAGAGGCAGATACCTGTGGACAGAGGTTACCTTCATAGAGAAGATTTAGGGTTTTTTTTTTTTTTTTTTTTTT